CAGGCCTTCTGAAGAGCCATCTGACCTTGCAGCCTCTGCCAGCTCTTTTCCTCCTCCTTCCTTCACTCTTACAGGTGACTTCTGCCCTACACTGGGAGAAAAAAAAAAAAAAAACTGCTCTCTCAAACATCACCTGGAACTTCCAGTTCCAAGAACCAGCTGCTTGTTCCCTGGACACACCTGGTGCTTTCCCACCCAAGCTTCTGCTCACATACTTTCCTCCCTCTGGAATAGGCTTCTCACCATCTTGCCTTCAAATCGAATGCTTATTTACAGGCTTATCTCATATGTCACCTCTTCCAGGAAGCCTCTCCTACTCCTTCCAATCAGATGTTATCTACGTTTCTTTGACCACTCACAGTACCTTTCTTGTACCTTTCTCATGGCATGCTCAAGTTCTGCTTTTTCCTGCTGTTGAGCTTATACTTTCTTATCTCCCATCAGCTTCTTCACACTCAGACTGCTTTTTACTCTTCGGCAGTGCTGAGAGCAGTGCCTGGCACTGACAAATATCTCCTTGACCTTCAATTAATCTTCAATGAATCTTTTACTCTGTCAGATTCACTTTGTGAGAATATATAGCAAAGAAACAAGATCATTAGACTCTAGTATCTTTCCCAAATTTCACCAATTGTTGCAGGAGGTGGGGGGGGTAACTGTTTTAAATAAATTTCTGACTGACAGAGCTCATCCCAGAGGCAAGAACATCTTTTCTGTAACTGCCATGTAGCCTGTCTCCAAAGAGGTTTCCAAGTGTGAACACGTCAGTCCGAGACTCTGTTAATTGGATCTTCAGCTGCTCAGGGTCCTCACTGCACAGCTGCTGTTTTATTCCAGAAATGGAGAGCTGGGGATGAGGAAGCACAGGAGACGGCCTTAGGAAAATCCTCGCTCTTCCAGAGCGCTCCATTTTCACTTATGCTGGTCTTCACCAAGGGAGAGTGTGGGATCAAGAGACCAAGGAAAGGCCAACTGATGTGTTTCATTCTTTTTCCCCTTCCGCTTTAACATATTAGAGGAGTGTTATTTGGGATTTTGACATTTACCAAGAATTTAAGGTTAAATTATTCTGGTGGAAAAGAAAAATGCCAATCCTTTTCTCTCTAAAGACAGCAAAACTGGTTAGCATGAAAATGCTCCCAGGATGTTCAAGTCTTTTGGCGTTTCTCCTTGGCAATAACTCTTCATGAACACCCCTCTGTGAAGTAGCTCAAAACACTGCAACTGGTGTCTGAGTGTTTTTCAAATAGGCATATGGATCTGGAGAACTGGAGCTAGAAGACGCCATCTACGAACCTTTAGAGATGAGGTTCAGTGGAGAAGACAGCCTGGGTTGCCCAAGCTTCCCCCATTGCCCGCAACAAGGCAAACACGGGCACCTTTGGGACTTAAGACGTGATCTGCCAGCACAAGGGTGTCCATTGTTCACTTGGCCAAATCAGGGGCTTTGGAATGGTTAAGAAAAAAGGCAAAGGGGCCCTCCTTCTCCATCACACAGCAGTATATCTAAACTTTTTAAAAAGTATATCCCCCCACCTTGGAGTCTTTTTAGCCTTTTTTCTAATTGCTCCCCCTTGACGTTGTAACGCCACAGATATATTGTTTAAATATCTGTTTATGTACTGTGACCCTTTGAAAGGCTACAAGCCATTGTCATGCCTCAGAGTTTTGGTTCCTCAAACACTGATATTTGTACCCCTTGCCAACTCAGAGGTGGGAGGGGCGATATCCCTTCATGAAGAATGTATGTTGCAGGCCCACCCAGAGGGTTGACAGGACACTTCCTGACCACCACCCAGGGTTTATTTTCATCTTTTCTCTCACTCCCCTTCAGATTTGGTAGGAGCCTGTACCTTGTAGAGCACAGAGCTAGAAGGCCCAGGGTGAGCAGGTGGCTGCTCTATGGAATGCCATGGCAACATGAGAGAATCAGGGCAGAGAGACTGACAAAAGTCTCAGAGAAACGGTGTGTTTCATGCAGTGAAATATTAGGTTTTACAGTAGTAAGTGTTGAGCTAATAATTATTATAAGACATAGATTTAATAGGTAAAATTTTCAGCAATAAGCTTATCCAAGGAACAGCATTACAAGAGTTCAGAAATTAGATATTCCATTGCCCCTTTTACCAGCAAAAGGGTATGAAATTGGATTTTTCCTTCAATCTAATTCGCTTTTCCAATATTATAATTAACTTGACAAATAGATCTCAACTTCTGCACCTTCCCTTTTGCCTGAACACTTTATAGGCACAACATAATGATTCTAGTTATTAGCTCACTTTAGGCTAAAAATAAGAGGACTAACAATACATTAACATTTCCATTATCAATCAGAAACTGGTAGGTCAGCTCCTTGAATGATATGTTGCTCAGCACATTAAATCCTTGAACTCAGCAAAAATATATAAATACTTTTGCTCCTGAAGTTATGGTTTAAGAGAGTCATGGGGCAGGATAAATTGGAAATGAGGAGGACAATCAATTTGGATTGGTCTAAATGGAAGAATAATGGATTGCCATTTTTTTCCTTTACCTAGTATAGAAACTGAGTGCCCGTGCTATCGGTTTGGTATCAAAGAGGAAGCAAAGAGTAACCAATCAAAAACAAACTTCTACTTGCTTTTGTGCTGGTACCATCTGCTGTACACACATCACCTTGTGACAGGGCCAATGGACATCTACCAACTGATACCATTAAAGCAGAGTGAAGAACAAAGTATTCTCCTTTCACTTGGGCACCAGAGGACCTGGTTTTTGTGCTTAAAGCTAGTGCCAATGCTGAGTTTCAGTCACTGCAGATTCCACAGATTGATCATCCATCTCCTCCCACACATTCATTACTGCCAACATTTTGAAACTTCAATAGTGCCTCCAGGTAAATCTTCTCCATAACACTAGCTTAATAGTGTCTATAACAGGAGAGAGAATCTAAGAACTACAGGCTAAATCCAATCATGCCCATTTGTCTCCATCTTGTCTCTGGCTGTTTTCCCTACAAGGGCAGTGCTGAGTAGTTGCAACAAAAACTGACTTTTTGAACAGCCAAACTGAAAAATAATTACTGTCTGGCTCTTTACAGAAAAAGTTTTCTGACTTTGGTAACATGGATTTTAAAAATAAATAAATAAAAAGAAAAAACAAAAATTAAAACCCTTTCCTTCTACAGTTTTCAGAGTTTTCTTAGATAGAATTGAGAGTTTAACATTATTTTAGAGCAAAATAATATATAATTGCTTTTCAACTCCTAGGAATGAAATTTGGAAAAATAAACTCAGAAATGTAGTAAAAGATTATTGATAATGATATGGATTGTATATTGGCCATCTGCTACTTTTATGAAAAAGTCATATTAAATTTTCTCTTCAAACAATGACTATGGATGTTCATTACAGAAGAAGCTGGCATTTCTCCAAAGCACAGTTTTCTTAAGCAAGGAAGCATATATTCAAGAAATTAACTTAGGCCAGGCGTGGTGGCTCACGCCGGTAATCCCAGCACTTTGGAAGGCCAAGGCGGGCAGATCACGAGGTCAGGAGATCGAGACCATCCTGGCTAACACGGTGAAACCCCGTCTCTACTAAAAATACAAAAAAATTAGCCAGGCATGATGGCAGGCGCCTGTAGTCCCAGCTACTTGGGAGACTGAGGCAGGAGAATGGTGTGAACCCAGGAGGCAGAGCTTGCAGTGAGCTGAGATCGCATCACTGCACTCCAGCCTGGGTGACAAGAGCGAGACTCCATCTCAAAAAAAAAAACTAAGAAATGGACATAAAATAGAATTTTCTTACATGTATATAAATTTAACACTAATATCTCAAATGACCTCTTAAAGAATATTAAGACAAAAAATGTAATTAGTGCTATGTAGTGCCTGAATATGATATTAGTTAAGGAGAATAAGGAGAACCAGAAAACAGAGAACATGAATATGGCAATTAGTGATTGCTCTCACCCATATAATAGTATGTTTGTATCTAAATTTTTAAAATATATCTGGCCAGGTGCTGTGGCTCACGCCTATAATCCCAGCACTTTGGGAGGCCGAGACGGGTGGATTGCTTGAGGCCAGGAGTTCGAGACCAGCCTGGCCATCATGGCAAAACCCCGTCTCTACTAAAAACACAAAAATTAGCCATGCCAAAGTGGCACATGCCTGTAATCCCAACTACTCAGGAGGCTGAGGCACGAGAATCGCTTGAATACAGGAGGCAGAGATTGCAGTAAGCCATGATCACGCCATGCACTCCAGCCTGGGCAACAGAGTCAGACTCTGCCTCAAAACAAACTAAATTTTAGAAATACATCAACATATCCAATCTACTAATCTTTATTAAATATCTACTATCAAATATGTTAATGATATTAACTATAAGTAAGTATATAAAATTTCTACTATATAGTACTGAGAAATAAAGCTGTAAAAGGCATAGCCTCTGCTCTCAGAGAACTTAAAATCTATTAGGGATACTAAGATTTGCAAATAGACTCCTTAAATTCTGTTTTACATAAATTTTTAAATTTCAATACATTATTGAACATATAGAAGTAAGAAAACCTTCATGCTCAATTTAGACAATTATTTGATTATTATAACTCAAACAGCATGAAAAAAGCCAACTGCGTGCACCTCCCAAAAAAATTATTTTCCCTTCCCAGGTATCACAGTGACTGAAATTCTACTGATGCTAGTCATCCCTTTAGGTTAAACACTGCCCCAATTTCCTTCTAATACCAATGGGTCATTATTTAGATTTTCCTAGGCATATTTAACTGCTGGTATTTTAAATATAAGAATAACTTAAATAAATTGCTATAATACATTACTTCTATTTTTCTAGTAATTTTAGACCAGCCTGCCCAACACGGAGAAACTCTGTCTTTACTAAAAATACAAAATTACCTGGGTGTGGTGGCGCATGCCTGTAATCCCAGCTACTCAGGAGGCTGAGGCAGGAGAATCGCTTGAACCAGGGAGACAGAGGGTGCGGTGAGCTGAGATCACGCCATTGCACTCCAGCCTGGGCAACAAGAGCGAAACTCTATCTCAAAAGAAAAAAAAAAAAAGAATTACTCCAAGATGATTTAACATGTTGTCATATTATTTACCTGTTAGATCACTTTCCACCATAAGAAATAGTACCCCTCCCCCATGAAGGCATGAGGAATTTGGTGTGAGGGAACACTGATTGGGAACCATTAAACAAAGAAGGGGGGAAATCCCACAAGATAAGCTTAAACCCGTCACAATCTATCAAGACTGGGCATGTGTAAGGAGTTAACGTTTCCAAGAAAATCAAGAGTCAACAACACAGAGAAGGTGGTCTTCTCAATTACAGTCACACTCCTAAAAATCAATCACAGTCAATAGTCACATCGAAGTGAGATGATGGTGATAAAGGGAAAGAGAAAAAAGAGATATTTCCCATAAATTCTGCGTTATTGATGATTGACCACACAGAGGCTAATGTTCACAATAAGAATGAGCATTTATAAACTCATGTGTTAAAGCCCCGTTACATTCTAATGCAAAAATAACCTTTTGTTAACTTGAGATTTTTATGTCTTGATCACAGGGAAAGCCAATGCAATTATTTACTTTCTATTTTGTTTGGTATAGTTATGCATAGTTGACCTAATACATGTCATAATACATAAATATCTTGCTGTGATTGCTTTTCTTTTCTGTCTTTCTTTGTGTGTGTTTGTGTTTTGTTGTATGAAATTTGGTCACATGTAAAGATTCATGTAACTATCATGTAGCTATCATGTAGCTACCACAATCAAGATACAGAACTAATCCATCACTACAAATAATTACCCATTTACCCCTTTATAGTCACACCATGTCCCTAACACCTGACAACCACTGATCTTGTCTCCATTTCTATAATTTTGTCATTTTGAGAATGTTCTATAAATGGAATCAAGAAGTACATAAATTGGAATCATACAGTATGTATCTTTTGAAGTCATCTTTTTTTTAAATACATATGTGGCTCATATACATACAATAACATACATATGTTTAATTGGTATATTCTTGCCTCAAATTTTATAAACATGTTTTAAGTTTAATTTGATCCAATCTGTAAGACATTAGAGACAGCCCTGGGGGTAAGTTTGCCAGAATGCAAACTGAAGGGTGAATCATTTCATGACGACAGCATAGCTCTGTGTGTTTAAAAGGGCTCAATAGTTCTTAGACCTGAATTCCATCTTGAAGCTCAAAAGTAGTTAACATTAGAGTATTCTGGAGCAAATCTCTGCAGCTTCAAACTCTGTCTTTGGGAGGTGTCACTGAAGAGAACACACAATGGGAAGAAAGGCAGCTTTGCTCTCCAGCTGCCACGTCCACCTTGCCTTCACTCTGGTTCTCTAGCAACAGAGAAACCCCAGGAGGGATTTTGCTAGGCAAGATGAAGTTAAAGAGTTAATGACTCCTATCCAGACCATAAATTAACCTGTATTTTTAAAAATCCGAAGGAAGAGGTGTTCCACAGGACTAATGAACACGTATATCTAAAAATAACTCCTTGTTTAATTAACAGCACACTTCACAGTCACTCTAATTAAAACTGCTGGCCAGACTGAGGATAATCATCCACATCTTTCACAGGCATCATAAAGCTCAATGAAATCATTTGAGCTTTATGGGGAAATAACATGTAGGCTACTGTGGAGAAGGGTATCAGAGGGGGATATTAACTTCATTTAAGCAAGGAAGAAGCAGTAGACAGGAAGTCAAGCTGTGCAAAAGGTCAGGTGAGAAAGGGAGGGACCAAGGACAGAACCAGAGTGGCAAAAAGCTAATCTCCAGTTCCAAGTAATTTCTACAGTTGATCTATGAAGTGAGGAGGGCCCCCACCCCCTACCCACAACAGACAGTAACCACCTCTGCCTTTGGTAGGCTAAGCCTGGAGGAAGAGCAGTCAGCTGTCTGAAATGGAAGGATTTCAGGACCTTACTGTAAATAACAACAGCCAACACACACTGACCACTAATTTTGTGCCAGGAATTGCTAACACTTATTATTTTATGTATTACCATAAACTATCTTACAGATGATAAAACTAAAGCTTATAAAAGTTTAGTTACGGCCAGGCGCGATGGCTCACGCCTGTAATCCCAGCACTTTGGAAGGCCAAGGTGGGCGGATCACATGAGGCCAGGAGTTCGAGATCAGCCTGGTCAACAGGGGGAAAGCCCGTCTCTACTAAAAATACAAAAATCAGCAAGGCGTGGTGGTGCACGCTTGTAATCTCAGCTACTTGGGAGACTGAGGCATGGGATTCACCTGAACTCGGTAGGTGGAGGTTGCAGTGAGCCAAGATCGTGTCAATGCACTCCAGCCTGGGTGACAGAGCGAGACCCTGGCTCAAAAAAAACAAAAACAAAAACAAAAGTTAAGTTACCTGCCCAAGGCCCCAGAGCAAGTCAGCAGAGAAGTCAAAAAAACAGACCTAGGCAGACTGAGACACCATGCTGTCTCACTGAACAGGGTCAAAACCTACTTCACAGGACTGCTGTGACAGCTCAAGAGAACCTGACACCTGCTAGGTGCTTAGTATATATTCCCCAACAATCTCCCCCAATGGCCTGTATCAGACCTAACGAAATCTACCAGTGAAATCTTTTCTCTTTGAGTAAGCTTTGTGTCTCTAGGAGTACTCTGAAAAATAAATAAGCCAACAAAAATACAGGCAGAGCATTTTGTATGCATATAATATTCCTGGAAAATTCTATCAGATTTGAAGATTGAAAAATGGAACAATAGGCTGATACATTCTAAGAGTAGTTCCATTCTGAGAAAGCTAAAATGTTAGAAAATATACCTCCTCTCATGGACCTGGCCTTTGATGATTTGTTTCCTGCATTTGACATATACTCTTTAAGTTTCCAGTTTAAATCTCAGTGAACGACTGAACGAGACTAACAAATATTGCACTGAGTGACATCAAACTTTATAACATTGATATTAGCTCCTTTCTCACCTCCATTCATTTTTATAACATTTGAAGTAGAAAAAGCAAAAGTCAGATACAGATGCAAACATTACCCAAATACTGACATACGAAAAGATGGTAATACTCCCAAGTCTACACTAGCAAATAGTACTACTGTGCGTCGGCTTGAAATGTCTGTTCGTCACCTTAACCCAGCATGAAAAAGGTAGTTAATGTACACTAATGCTTAATATATGGGGAATGTAAGAAAGTCACAGGCTACATTAAGCCACTCCACCAATTACTACCTTTTGGGATTTAAATTTGTTAGGTCACAAAAGTAAATGATTATAGGGTCCAGACAGGAATGCAAATAATATGGCAGCCTGGTACAAGGCGTGATGGGTGAGGATTGTGATGAACGGGAGCAGCACATGCCTGTCTGGAGAGGACAGCTGCTATTCAGCTAGTGACTGCCATTAGGAAAGGTAGGACCCAAAGACACACACCATTTCTCGGCTTTTACATGAAATTTCCCAAGTAACTAATAATTTTTTTAAAAAAATTAAACATTGTGCCATTCAAAGAAAATACTTCTGAGGTTGGATCCAACCTGCAATCCAGGAATCTATACCCTCTGGGTAAAAGGCAGCAAAGAGTAAATTCTGATTGGCTGGAAAGAAAGTAAAGGGTCCAGGGAGTGGGAGCCTGAATAGGCAGAGTGGGCAGCGTCAGACACACAAGCACGAATGTGAGGATCTCCTCACTCAGTGTCTCCAAAGAGGGGCAGAGAAGGTGAGAGAAATAGAAGGTAAAGAGACAAAGGAAAGGGGCTTTGCTTTCTTCACATTGTGTAAATTGTTAGCAATAGCTGGGGATGTGGAAAGGAAAACACAGAGGGAAAAGGCCTGAGATGTGCGTGAGCATGTTCAATATTGTGAGACACAAGTAAAACGAGTGTGAGTAAGCACTCATTTTTACCACCCTTGGGTGGTGAGCTGACAGCAACCACAGTGGCCGATGCTTCTAGACATTATGTGCTGCGTGGTTTACAGGGATGATCACACATTTAATCTTGACAACAAAATCAAATAGTAATATTGTCCCCACTTTTAGATAAATAAACTGAGTGTTAGAGACATTAAGTATCTTGCCCAAGGCCATAAAACTGGTAGGTGGCAAAGAAGGCATTTAACCCTGGACTATCTCACTCCGGTGCTGAGTTCTTAACCAGTGTCCACTGTTGTGTCTCCGCTGAGCTTGATATGGGGCCACAAGTCTGAAAAGTGAAGGCCTTCTGAAATGTCATGGGTGCTCAACCTCCAGGAGTTTCAACTCTAGAGAGAGCTAAGGAAGCTCATGTTCTCCTTTTGCTGACAATGGCCTTCTATTATGGATGGCAGAGTAAGGTGGTGGTGAGAATGGTGGGCCAACATTTGTGTTCCATTAGCCTCCACTGCATTTTCTGTGCTGCATGTTAGCCAAGTCACCAAAGCTCTCTCTGAAGCTCTCCAGGATTCAGTTCCTTGGCTGTACAATGAGGACAACACTGCTTCAGCTGCCAAAGAAAGGAAGCCCCAAGAGGATTTCTCAAAGCCCCTCCCAGCACGTTTGTTTTCAAAAAAGGTTTTCTATACAATGCCAGCATTGCTAGATTCTTTCAGCATTTTTCTCTTATTCTTGAATGTCCCAGAGAGTTCACTGAAGTGTTCCTGATTCTCAGGCTTATGATCAAGAGCCCCTAACCCAGTCTGTACACACCTCTAAATATGTGGGTTTTAGCTTTTCCCTCTTTTAATCAGAGCGATGGTAGAAAGTTTTACAGAGAAAATAAAATCCCAAGGTCCATGCCCTAAAGATGAAGGCTAACGATAAAGACACATATGTAAAACTGATTTTTAAAAGTTCCTTTTAAAATTTTTTGCTATCACACTAACCAACAGCAAAATATTCACTTAGCCATGCAATGTTTGGTGTAAGGGAATGAAATTTTCAGAGAAAATCACTCTTAAACCCTCACAACTAAAGACTTCAACGGTAACCAAGAATAGTGACAAACCTAAGTAAACCCCAAAATAGGGGAATTCTGATAAATG